TATTGTTAATATAATGTAGTGCTCAATATTATTAATATTGAAGAGGATCTTGAGCTCAAATCTATCATGAAATTTGGACAGATAAATGATTGGCCAAATGAAAAATACGCAATGAAAATTGATTTCACCTGAAAAATATACAGTTGGACGGATAGTCCCAACACTTAAAAGTATAAAGCCAGTGGAGGTATAAATGTGTTCTTGTGCACAAAAAAAAAGGTCAAGTCGATAGACATAAAGACGACTTGTGTCACAAGAAGATTTGTAATTATCCTGGCATTGATTATATAGAGACATGTTCTCCTGTGGTGGATGTCGCCATTACAGGTTTTAATCTGGCAATACAAGAAAAACGTGATATGCGTATAATAGAAATCATTGAAGGATTTAAATTGTTCTGAAGCGTATTAAGGTTTCCAATAAATTTATTAAATAAAGCTTCAAAAATCCTTATACGGATTGAAACAATCAGGGCGCATGTGGTATAATCGCGTGAGTGAGTACCTGTTGAAAGAAGGGTACAAGAATGATTCAATTTGACTTTGTGTCTTTATAAAAAGATCTGAATTAAAATTTATTATAATCACCATGTATGTTGATGATTTAAATAACATTGGAACTCCTAGGGAGCTTCCTAAAGGAGTAGAGCTTCCTAAAGAAGCAGACTATTTAAAGAAAAAAATTAAAATAAAAGATCTTGGAAAGACAAAATTTTGTGTTGGTCTACAAATTGAGTATATGAAAAATAGAATTTTTGTCCATCAATCAGCATATACTAGAATGATTTTAAAGCGATTCTATATGGATAAAGCACATCCATTCCGACCTCATGAAAATAATGAAGAGCTTCTTGGTCCCAAAGTACCATATCTTAGTGCAATTGGTGCGCTAATGTATCTTTCTAACATTACAAGGTCTGACATAACTTTTTCAGTTAATGTCTTAACAAGATATAGCTCTGCACCTACAAGTAGACATTGAAATGGAATCAAACACATATTGCGGTATCTAAAAGGGACTACCGATATGGAATTATTTTATGGCAATAATTGCAGTCCCGATCTTGTTGGTTATGCCGATGCTGGGTATTTATATGACCCACACAAGGCTCGATCTCAAATAGGCTATGTGTTTACATATGGAGGCACTACCATATCTTGGCGATCGACTAATCAATCAATCGTGGCTACTTCATCTAATCATGTTGAGATAATCGCTATTCATGAAACAAGTTGAGAATGTGTATGGTTGAGGTCTATAATACACCTTATTCGAGACAAATATGGTTTGAAGTGTGACAAACTACCCATAATTTTGTATGAAGACAATGCAGCATGCATAGCCCAATTGAAGGGAGGATTCATAAAGGGGATAGGACAAAGCAAATTTTACCAAAGTTATTTTTCACACATGATCTTCAAAAGAATGGTAATATCAATGTGCAACAGATCTATTCAAGTGATAATATGGCTGATCTGTTCACCAAATCTCTACCGACGTCAACCTTCAAGAAACTAGTGTACAAGATTGGGATACGAAGGCTCAAGGATATGAATTGATGCTCTCATCAGGGGGAGTTAATACGTGTTGTATTCTTTTTCCCTTACAAGGTTTTGTCCCACTGGGTTTTCCTTGCAAGGTTTTTAACGAGGCAACCAAAAGGCATATTTCTAAACATGTGTACTCTTTTTCCTTCACTAGAATTTTTTTCCCATAGGGTTTTTTTCTAATAAGGTTTTAACGAGGCACATTATCTATGGACATCCAAGGGGGAGTGTTATAAGAAAAATCAAATTATGGTGGATGTCTACTCTTCTTCCATGATCTTCTCAAATGCTTAATGACATATTCAATGACATATTTTTCTTCACTTTTCATGCCTATATAAAGGTCTTGTAATAGATAAGAAAATACACACAATTGAAGAAGAAAATCTTTTCCTTCCCTCTATCTCCATTTCTTGTTCATGTTTTACTAAATTGCTTTTATTTCAAAACAACATTTCTTATTCATGTTTTACTAAATTGGTTGTTTCCTTTTCCCCCTTTTTTGGGCTAAAATGTCCACATTTCTTTATGATTTAGTGGATGTAGTTCACAAATTAATAGTAATAAGTATTTTTGTGCAAGTGTTTGACCAATAAGTTGGAAGGTAGATATGACAGTAAAGATCTATGTACTTAATTTGGAAAGATGAAAAGAAGAACGCATCTAACCGAAACATTTTTTAATTTTACGAATCATATTATTGATTCAAGTGAGCAAATTAATGGGTTAATAAGATCTTCTAAGCAATTTTCATTCACACATACTTGTCACACAGAAAACACTCACACACACAAAAAAAATAAAAATGGAACTATCTAAAATCCTTGTTCTTTTACATAAATATTTGAAAATAAAAATTTGCTCCATGCATCTTTGCCCCAAAATTATTATTATTATTATTTTTGGCAAAAGTTTCTCTTTTCGACTCATATTCCTATAAATGTTCTTCAACTATTTTAGCTCTGCAACGTGTGAGGAGGTGATGAGCTGGGAAAAGGTTGCGATACGTACTACGACAGAGAGGCTGCTTGTTTATTCGTAATTGCTTTAGAGAATTTAGATTTATGCATTTCTAAGAGTTGCAATGATATGTGTATCTACGTACTCATACATTTCAAATACAATAACAACATTTATCTTTAGCCCAATAAACTAGTAGAATTAGCAATATATTTCTCTACATCTATTATGCTCATATTGGAGTAGTTCATTTTATTCAACCTCGTACAGTTCAATTATTGAAGTAAAAGTCGAACCTAATCCAAATTTTAGAAATGAAAATTTCATAATTTTGTTTTTGTAGTATCTTATTTTGCTCATTACCTGCCTTAGCAATCTAGTTTGTGTTGTTTATTTCTATTCCTGGACATATGGTCGGATTGGACTTCAACAAGGTTGAAAATGATAAAACTTATCTGCACCCTGTATTCGTATTCTTGCACATAAACTCTTAAGATTAAATTAATTAATTTAGTGTAAACATAGAAAGCAAATAAATATTTATTTCAGAGCATTGTGGACTTGCTACTAACGTGTAAATGTCTGAGTTAATTATGAAACGCTATCTTTCTGGGCCAACATGAAGATATGTAATCTGTGATGGTGCTCTATGCTTTAGCGTCAAATTTAGGTTTCTCGGCTTTTGACTAATATAATCTTTTCCAATTAAACTACTCCTCGCCATTAAATCTTAATATCATATACCATTTTTAACTAGCATAATTTTCATTAGTTTAATTTACTAAGTATTTTATTCAACTTATCATTTTATAGATTATCAGATAAAGCATCACACCGAAATTTAAACTTTGAATAGTGAATAGAAATGAATTATATTCTTGAAATTGTGCAAATACTATACTCCTTTTATCCGAAATTATGTGTCATTTTTTACTTTTTAATTCGTCCAAAACAGAATAATATATTTCTATATTTGTTACGTAATAAATTAATTTACTTTAAATTTTTAAATTTATGCTATATAAGATGAATTATAACTACATAAATTTGTTTAGCTTATTTTAGACCACATGATTCAAAAATCTTTCTATATTCTCAAAGTATGTGCACAATCAAACATTATCTCATAAAAAAGAAAAATATAAATTTAGATATGATATAATGTCACTCGTTCTTGAAATTTTATTAACTACTCCTTTCTTCCAATTTATGTGACTGTGTTTGAATTTTGAGAGTTAGATTTTGACCGTAACTTTTTCATATGTCTCTTAAATGTTTTGAATTATTAATATTGTAACTTGTAGTAACTTTTTACATAGTTTTCAAAGTGAATTTTTCTTAATTTTTTAAAAAGATTTTATGTTTAAATACATACTTAAAATTAATAAGTTTGAAAAGCAAAAAGTAAGGGACCGAGGGTAAATAAATGGGAAGCAAAGTATTATATAGAAAAAAAATTATCAAGTGCTTTATTACTAAGAAATCTCAGGTGCTTTTGGTTGTTGACCATTTTGTACAGCCGCGGCGGGCCGTGGAAGTACGTTTAGCAAGGAATATCCGACGGAATATTATATGCAAAAAATATGAAGTGCAGACATTGCGTTTAGGAATTGGGAGTGCCACATACAGAAAAAGGAGAGCCCTCTCTGACAAGTGTTTTTATTACTCACTGTATCGACACGAATTACACTTAGCTCTCTGTTGCTCTTTGCCTTTTCCCAATGACAATATTTTAATATTTTAATTTTATTTTATCTCTCTCTCTCTCTTTCTTTGTCATCATCTACTCATTTATTCGTTCTTCCAACTTTTTCCTCTTTTTTGCGTGAACGGTTCGCCGCATCCCTATCCATTTTCCCACAAAAAGGTTATTGCCACTAACCACATTTACCACTAAAACCCCACTAGCAACACTTTTGTAAACTCCTAATTCTTCTTCTTCTTCACTCCATTTTCAGCAGTATGTCCATGTTCATACTTCTGAATTGTACTATACTATATATTTTTGAGTCTCTTCTCTCCCTGTAATCAAATGAATGGAGCAATCCTCCAGTAATAAATTTAAATTTTAGAACTTTTTCTTGATAAATCTTTAGGCCTACCCCTGGCGTAAACTCCAACAAGAAGTAAAAACCGGACTCTCTAGTAAGGGAAAGCACAGGACTGAAAGAAAAAAAATTCAGCCCTCAAATTAGCCAGACACATGAAAAAAGAAAATTCCTAATTTGATTCACCTTAGATTTTTATTTTGCTCACAGAAACCCCATACTATAAATTCGTACTAATTTTAGTACTTTTGATTCAACCGAACAAATCAAATATCTCTCTTCCACGATTATATATAGCAAATTAAAACTCTTAAATAGATTATGCCAAAAACACATGATTGATCAGAAAACGATCTACTATTTCTCAACCTTTTTTTTCACATATTCCGAAATATTACAAAAAGAGGGAAAGCAAAATTTCAAGTACAATAGAAGACCGAGTGAATCACAGAGCTGAGTCAGAAGGTTTATAATCAGATGATGAAGAAATAGGAACTCCGATGTGAGAGGGTTTCTGATCGCCGGCCATGATTACGACGACTCTCGGAGACATTTCCACAATTATTTTGGGCGCCGGGCGTGCAGATTTCTCCGACGAGGTGGCGGAGGAGGAAAGGCGTTTATGGAAGGAACAAGCGAGGACGATGAGTGCGGCTACAATGAGTACCAACATTATCGCCAAACTTCCAAAAAGGTAAGGAAGTGGAGATCTCCATGTCCAGAATGATGAGGAGCTGTCTGATGTTGCCTTTGTGTTTATTTCTCTCATAACTATCTCTCTTTCTCTCTCTACTTTCTGTTACAAAGCTCTAGGCATATGTACTCAGGTGGAAATTTTAGCTATTTTATAGAGCTATACAACTTGCCCAACCCTCCTTGAAATTGCTAAAATGCCACTAGCGTCGAAGCACGATATTCTTTTAAAATGCCTCTTACCAACATAGTATTTTTTTAATTTTTATTTAATTTTAGCATATGATGAAGTTCTGGAGATAATTGCATGTAATGCCAAGAGGGCAGGCCAAAAAAGAAGGCGGGCTAAAGAAAATAATTGATGGATTTCAGGGCTAGCAAGCATCCGAAGGAGAGTTACACGGGACATTTTTGGCAAATCTCATATTTAAATGGGGAGTAGAAAATTAATATATAATTTTATAAGATATAACACGAGTACATATAATATGCATATTTTTGGACATGATGACGGTGTAGTTCAAGAGACAAACACCTAAAATTTGTTAGGTCAAAGCCGGACAATATGTGTCATGACATTGCAAGTTATCAAAGGGACGCTAACTATTTCAGTTAATCATGGTTATAAAGTGAATTGGTTTTCTTCTCTTGGCCATTAAGTTACAACTTTGGCGGATATTAATAAAAAATTACAGCAATGGGCCAAAGACAACTTTCCATGACACGCTAGAACTGATAAACTAGAGATTAGAGTTAAGCTTGCCGGTTACAATTACTCCTTTTATATACACTACTTTATTAGTTGTAAAGATTAAATTCCATCATACAGATGATAAAGTTAAACTGGCCTTTGAGGAAATTAACTGGTAAAGTTTTTGCAAAACAAAAGATAGCATTAGACTGATTAGGGACTCAATGTCTTGTAAAAAAAGATGGTGATTAAATGACCTTTTCTTTCCATTGGTGTCCGCAAGTGCCCAAGAAATGTTCATTCTAAGTGATCTTAACTTAGATGAACCAATGACTACTCCAGATTTTAATAACTGCAAATACAGTTGGACTCGTGATTAATAAACATTCAATGTACTCGATAACAGAAAAAGGAAATAAAGCAAAATTAAGAAAAAGGGAAACTAGCTAGGGAAATTACCATGCATTTCTAACCTACAATTTAAGTTCTTTTTCCTTCTACAGGTTCAGGCAAATTAGACACTAGAGTTGGAATTTGAAAAAATAACTTGGTGCTAAAAGAAAAACTGAGGTGGTAAACCAGCTCATGGAATTGGACTATGGCAAGACACTTTTTGCTATGCCAACAAGCATCACCACGTGTCTTTACAGCCATTTTGGAAGTACTTCTACATATTGATGCATCTCTCCAGTTTTTAAGTCTAGATTCTTGCCCGTGTACTCTTTCCGATCCACTTTAATTCATTTTTTGGTCCTTTTTTGTGGTCCAAAATATTTGATTTTTTCAGATATAAAAAAAAATTAATTTCTTTTTCCAAAGTTATCTTGAAATAAAGAACGTAAGAGTATTTGTTATATTTTCAATGAATAAATTAAGGTTAATATGGTTAATTTTATTATTAATTAGTGTTAAAGGTGAATTCCTTAATATATATGAAAAGAGCCAAAAAATCAATTAAAGTGGACCGATAAGAGTAAATTTTTACACTCTGACACGATGTTTGTATAGTATAAATTGCCATTCATCTAATCTCTCTTACATCTTGTATAATAATAATAATAATAATAATAATAATAATAATAATAATAATGTGCTTAAAATCGGAGTTTATGACAATCACAACGTCTTCCTAGAGTTTACAAATGATGAAGATTATAACACGGTTTGGTATAGGAGATCAGTAGAAGATTATTACTTCTTGTATAATAACATTGAGGGACACCAAATGTGGCTCCAGAAATGGAGTCCGGACTTCAAGCCTGAGGAAGATTTACCAATAGTTCCAGTGTGGGTTAATATTCCTGATTTACCATTCCACTTACATACATGGCACTATGTGAAACAAATAGCAAAAGAAGCTGGAATTCCTCTGGAAATGGACATTGCGACAAGAGGCAAAACAAGACCAAGTATGGCTAAAGTAAGGTTAGAAGTTGATCTGCTCAAACCTTTACTTACTAGTGTTTGGGTAGGGGATGGGGATGATGATTCCCCTTTGAAAGGTTTTGAACAGAAATTGGAGTATGAAAACGTTCCTAAATATTGCAAGCATTGCAAGAAGTTGGGACATTCTCTGATTAACTGCAGATTATTGGAAAGAAGAAGAATAAATGAAAATAGGGACACTGAAACAAAAAGCAATGAGACACCAAAACTAGGGGCACTTTTGGAGAAGGAGAGACCAGCAGAGGAAAAGAAAGCAGTTGCAGCCGATACTGAAAAACAATCAAGAAGCGCGCAAAATAAAGTGAAGGTCACAAACAATGAAGACAAGGGTGGAACTATTGCTACCACCAGTGAGAACAATAAGATTATAATACCAGAAGAAAATAAAAGAATGGATGAGGTGAATGCCAGAACAAAGAAAAAGAAGAACAAAAGAAACCAAGAAGGTGCCAAAGAAGAGGAAAAAAGTAACTTTCAAAACAACCAGTAAAAGGGATAAAAATAGAGAAAAAATTACTCATTTGCCAGCACAATTGACAAAGTATTTTAATGAATTATGTAACAATATGGGAAGTTCTAATGTTGGGAACCATGAAACACAACAACATGAAGTAAATTCTCAAAGGAGGAGTGATAGTCCGGAGGTGAAACAAAAGCAACTAGAAGATGAGTCACAAGACACAAGCTCAATATTACAGGACAAGAGACTACAAATCACAAAAGGAATCGATATGACTCTAAAGGATCAAAATAACAGCATACAAAGGGTGGAAGAAACAAGTTCAGAATCTTCTAGTGTCGGAACAGAAATTAGAAATCATAAAGGTATTAGTTTGTTTGTAGAGCTGAATGGTGGACAGAACATTCTACACAATGAGGAAGAGATTGGAAACAGTATCATGGAAGCAAACATTCCAACAGATCAAGTAGATGACGATCTGAATTACAAATTAACAGGAGAATCTGCAGACACAGAAAACTTGTCACCAAGAAGGAGAGGAACAAGCGAAAAAAAAAAAAAAGGGAAGGAAAAAGATACAGAAATAGAAATAGAACTGCCCCTGACCAGAAGAAAGGGGTATCAAAACTATCATAATTTTTTTTATGATCAACGCAATTTTTTGGAATATAAGATGAGTGAGGTCAAAAAAGACCATACACATATTAAAACATTTAATTTCTATCAACAAAATAGAATTTATAGCCATTATGGAGCCTTTTGTTCATACAAAAAAAATTAAGGGATACAGATCTTTTCTAGGATTCCATCAATATATTTCTAATGACAATGGCAAAATATGGTGCTTTTGGACATTAAATTGTCAAGCAACCATTCTGGTAAGTGATGGGCAACAAATAACTGTAAATATCAAGGATGGGAGGGATGACGTGAGGGTCTTTGTTTTTGTTGTATATGCTAAGTGTTCCTTATTAGAAAGAACTGAACTTTGGAATACCTTGGAAAGTGTCAGTACTTTGGTAAGGGGCCCATGGTGTGTGGGAGGAGATTTTAACTCAATCTTGGATCCTGATGAGAAACTTGGAGGTAGACCATACAGAATCAGTAGAAGTATTGATTTCTCTAATTGTATGAACAATTGTGAATTAACATGGTGTAATAATAGAAGACCAAGAAAGAGAATTTGGAAGAGATTAGATAGAATTATGGTTAATGATTTGTGGCTGCAGAAATTCCAGAATAATAGCGTGACACACCTTGTGAGAACAGGGTCAGACCATAGACCTTTACTCATGAAATGCTCTAATAACCAACAAGAAATCATAAAGTACTTCAGATTTCTTGAATTCTGGACAGAACAAAATGGTTTTCAGGAGCCAGTACAGGAAGTATGGAATTCCCATATCACAGGCAACCCGATGTGGATTTTACAGCAAAAGTTGAAGGCACTTAGCAAGAGACTCAGTGTATGGTCTAAAGAATCTATTGGTGATGTGTATATTAACTTAGCAGAATGGGAGTCGAAAATACAGAGACTCGAGGAACAAGAACCGATCAACAATGATGAGGTTACTAGGCAGGAACTTAATAAAGCTCATGCAAAATATGTTAAGTGGTTGTCCATGCAAGATGCTCTATTGAGATGGTTTAAAGCAGGTGATAACAACAAGTACTTTCATGGCGTCATAAGGGATAGAAGGAGAAGAATGCAAATACACAAAATCAAGAATCATAGAGAAAATTGGATCCGGGGG